CCAGAACATCGAGTCGATCCAGATCCAGTTAAAATGATGGACACAGCTGAAAACAAAACACAGAGATGATATGAAGAGGACCAAACATAGAATTATTTCAGTTTCCAGCCATAGATTCCAAGTTATAGCAGAACGGTAAACTGAAAGGTGTAATACTGTCAGTCCACACAGCTTGAACCCTAATAAAACAGTCTATAAAAAGTCCAATGGATTCACTCCTGACCTACAAAGACATTCAGCTCCAAAATTTGTATTATGACAAAGTTTGTGAGGACTGCAGAACATCCACATTAAGAAAGTTGAAACAGGAGACTTTGTTTGAATTGTTTCAATTACAAGACCTGAAAAGAACTAAGAAAACTTCAAGTTGCAGACTTTATCAAATCTTTCAGGGGTATGGTCTCCCTTAAACACACACACACTTACACGCACATACAGATGTCAGGCTGACTTTCCCTCTGAAAATATCTTCCATGTCCCGCTCATAAATGTTCATTTGAAACTATTAAAATGTTCCTTTAAGATATTTAAAATGAAATCTGTCATCTTGTAAGTTATTTAAAGAGTAATGTATAGCTCTCTGGATCTGAACCGCGTTTATAGAGAAAGATGCAAACGTTTTACCATTCAAATACTCAACAGTTTGGTTCTTGCACAGATGACTTTGACGTTTCACACTGAATTTCATTAGAAAACACACTAATAAGTGGAAGATGGAAGTCTAAAAAAAGGTTGTTTTTACAGTGTTTAACATTCATCTGATGATCAAAAGAATATCTCACCTGAACAGATGACAGCAGCATCCTGACCATGTTCACATCTGTTTGAACCAAATCCACTGTGTTGACACTCAGTTAGAGAACTTTCATTTCCTGAACAGGTCACATTGTCAAGCCAGATCTGTCCAGTTCCTGCACCAAAGTGAACTGATTGAGGAACTTCCAGTGCCGACCCACAGTTTAACTGTCTGCAAACCACCTGAGCATCATTTAAGTCCCAGCCATCATCACAGACTGTTCCCCAGCTGTTACTGTGATAAACTTCAACTCTCCCAGAACATTGACTTGATCCAGATCCAGTTAATCTGATTGGACCTTTTAATGAAAAACATATGACACAAACAATGTTTTAATATATGTCCCTTAAAGAAAACAAAGATACATATCACACAAAAATACATTAACATGCAGTATGTTCCATGTCAAAAAGTGATGTCACCTGAACAGATGACACCAGCATCATAATAATGTATATAGTAGTAGTTATAGTAGTAGTAGTAGTTGTAGTAGGAGTTTCCCCATTCAGAGTGTTGACATTCAGTTAGAGAACTTTCATTTCCTGAACAGCTCACACCACTGAGCCAAATCTGTCCAGTTCCTGCACCAAAGTAAGCTGTTCGAGGAGCTTGTAGTGCAGACCCACAGTTTAACTGTCTGCAAACCACCTCAGCATCATTTAGGTCCCAGTTATAATCAGAGACTGTTCCCCAGACGTTATTGTGAAAGATTTCAACTCTGCCAGAACATCGGCTCGATCCAGAACCAGCCAACCTGATCAGATCTAAAAGGCAAAGAACATGAAAAATACATTAATGTATTCTTCAAAAATGCAGTACACAAACAAAAGAGGCTTACTTGCAATTAATCTGATCACACCTTGTATGTAAAAGATATAACACAAACTATATTTCAATATACATCCCTTAAAGAAAATATAGATGCATAACAGTCAAAAACACAGTGACATGCAGTATTAGGGCTTGGTATTACAATTGATTTCTACAATTCATTCGATACCGATTCGATTCAATTTTGACTCATATAGTCAGAAATATTATAATTATCATGATCATTTATCAGTACATAACCATATTTTTATATCTATGTATAAAAATAAAGCTGACACGCATGAAACTTCGTCAGAGGTGTAAACATCACAGCAGATGTGTCATGGTACTGGGTCGCGGAACCCGTGCTTTGTGTTTATTGGTGAACTGACAGTTCAGATTATTATTAGGATTTATGGTTCTCTGGTTATGGTACATCCAGTCCCTGGATTGTGGTTTCTGTTTTTTATCATCTCTGTGCTTCAGGTTCCTATGTTTCCACATCTTAGTGTCTAGTCTGCAACTTAGTACTTTGTCTGAGTTTCCTTTTTTACTTTGGTAGTCCTTGTCCCATGTTTATGGTTTCAGTTCTGCAGTTCTGTTATCCCAGCTATGATTCCCTCCTATCTCTGATACTCTGATTACACCAGCCCTGTGTTTTTCCCTGCCCGCTGTCGTTCCTCAGTCATCATGTTTTGTCAGTGTCAGAGTCCTGGGTCTCCTGACCCAGCGTTTTTAGTTCTTTGTGATTTTTGTATTATTGTACTTGTGTGTGATTTATTCTAGGGTTTCTAGTTTTGATCCCTTGCCCTTCATGTCTCTCTGTGTCCCCTCTGTTCTGTGTAAGTCTGTGTCTGCATATTTGAGTTTCCCTCTGTGTCTTTCTGTTCATCGAGTTTTTTTTTAACTTTCTGAACTCATTATTTTTTAAGGAAACTAAAATTACACCGTAGCACCAAAAAAGGTTAAATTTAGAAGATTGCACACCAAGTCACAGGCTGTATTAGAAAATGTAACTGATGGTGGCATTTCTGTCTTGTTATCAAATATGTAAAAAAAAAAAAACAATCAAACATGAAACTTGATGATTTTGTAAATTGTAACAAAATGCTTTTTTTTGCTCACCTGGCAGCTGTGCGTGACAACCTGAAAAGTGGAAAAAGACAAACCCAGTTTAGAGCAGAAGATGTTTTGCACTTGTGAGAAAGAAAATAGGTGAAACTTAACATTAAAGTCTTTTCTTCATAATTCTTAAATTAAAATATTTTTCACAAAAAATCAAAATCCGACAAACTCCATTTAATTTTAAACTGCTACCCTGTCATATCTGATAGGAATTTGGCACCCATAGTTTTTCTCACCACCCAGCACAAAAAAATTGTACTTAATAATATATTATTTAATAACTGATTAAACTCTTGAATACTGTTGAGATTAAATTATTTGAAGTACCTCAATTCTATGCTTTGGATTAACTAAAATTCCATATAACCATATAGTGTAGTATTAAGTGAACACAGCCCTGAAAAATAAAGGCATTAGACTACGTGTCCTTGGGGGGTAGATTCTCGATTGAAATCAGCCTGTATGAGAGTGGGCCCGAGTTCTTTTGCTGGTTGGATTCCGAGCTGAGATAGCTCATTGTAGTGCCTAGAGACTGTGTGGGTCAATTTTGGGTTAGTAAATTAGGCTTAAAGTTGAACCTTGCGTCTAAAACTGTGTGTTTGGGTGTGTGCAGAGTGAGACGTGCTCTACAATAGTGTGTGAGTACTACAATAGTGCGGAGCAAGAGAATTTTGTTAACAACTGCAGGTTGATGTCTGCTGGCCATAAAGTGTAAAATTGACTGTGACCGTTTAGATTAAAAGGACTTTAAGAGTCTCATATGTTGTAACCTGTCTCACAGGAAAGTGAGTTATTTTGTGTTGTCAAATAGCAGCTGCGTTGAGAAAAGAGGCGGGTTGGATTGGCATAGTAGATCTCCACAGCTGTGTGTGTGTGTGTGTGTGGAATAGAATGTGACAGGTATCATGTCACATTCTAGGAGAGGAGAAGTGTTTCTCAGAGTGGAGTGAGCCAGACTGACAGAAGGAGGAAGAGCAAACTCAGAGGGGAGGAGCTGAGTGTGAGGTGGAACCAAGGAGGAGCTAGGAGAAGCAGTCTGTGTGACTGCAGGGGAAAAGTGCCTAAAACAGAGAGTCAAGAGCAAAAAAAAAAAAGGGGGCTCATTATGATTATTATGAATTATGCACAAACGCTGAAGCAGAACAGGATGAATTGGAAAAATATTTAAATTAGCAACAAAGAGAAATGTGTTTCAAGAGTGTCAAATAACGAGGGATGAAATATTAAATAAATCTCTTAGTGTGTTAATACAGGTGACTACGGACCTGGATCAACCCCCTCCATGAGCACATCGGCCAGAACATAATGATAGATATAATAATTGGAACCACAACGAGGCCATGTTTTGGCTGAAAATTCACAGCTTCACCTTCATGTATATGTTATTCTGAAAAGAAGCTTCAAGGACGGTCAATCTCTCCCTGAAGACAAAGGGCAGCTTCAGAGCAAAAGCATCAACGTTAAGAGTCAACACCAAGTGAACAGATAACAGCGCTGCCCTAAAACTTCAAAGGGTTCAGCAGCATGTACAAATACTATTGCAGATGGAAGCATGCGTTCTTGATCACAGGCTGAGAGGATCACCTGCAACATCATTGTGTGTGAATGATGAGTCTGAGTGTGCGCTCTGAGTCTCACATTTGAAATGGCTAAGGAAGAAAATAGTGAAAGACATAAGACAAAGCTGAAGAGGAACGGCTAAACACCAAGTTTAGGTGGAGTTTATTTTCGTTGTGCTGACTTTTTACAGTCAGTTACAGTAACTTGTACTGCGTACTAGCTAGCATGACAGAGTTTCTATACAGCTGGGTGGGTGCTATGATGTTACTGATAGTGAACTTTATTTTATTAATAAGGTTAGCTAGTAGAGTTGCCAACCGTCCCGTAAAAAACGAAATTGTCCTGTATTCAGAGAAAATATTACGCATTTCTTATTGAGGTGAAAACGAACAAATATTGTCCCGTAGTTCAGCTAGAATGGAAAAAGACACAAAGCTGGATGTCTGTGAAGGTTCTCAGTCATCCAGGTCATCGTAGTCAAAGGAGCTTGCAAAGAAAAGCGTCTGGACACCTCTCATCCGAGAAGCTTCTTCAGTTCTAAGGTCAAATGGTGGAGAGTCCCAGATTTAAACCTAGTGGGAGTAACCCCCCACAGAGGGACAAAAGGACCCCCTGATGATCCTCTAATCGCCTGAGCCAAGGTGTGAAACTGGGTGTGGGTCCCAATCAGCCAGAGTTTCGGGTGTGCCCAGGATGTGAGTGGGCGTTAAGGCGTCTGGGAAGGGATCTCAAAACTGGATTATAGATGGCAGAGAGTTGGTGTCGTAAACCCCCGCCTCTGTTCAAAGATGGTCGCTCACAGTGGACATAGATGGCTTCTTTCACTCCTCTAAGGTGGGGCCAGGTTTCACAATGAACACACCCGAAACTCTGGCTGATTTTTATCTGATATAAAATGTATAGAAATCATACATATACCAACAAGACTGTACATCACTGTCACAACAGCGTTTGTTTTCATTCAAAGGCTTTATGGCTTTTCCTATAATACATGGTGGGCCGGTCTCTAGTCAAAATGCCCGGTTTTTTGTCCCAGTCCAGCCCTGGGTGGAACTATGCCAGCTGACCCCATACTCTCCAGAATTGTGGAGCACTTGTGGGCAACCAGTAAATATGATGTGGGGAAAATGAACAGAGGTAGTGACTCTCAAGTCTCAGTTCAGACCAGTTAAGCATCAGCAATTAAATAAAGCAAGGAGCAGTGACAATAGCACTGCCTGTTATGGTAGCGAGAGTTCTAGACCCTACATCATATTGTCTTATTAGGAGTGGAAGGTTTTATGGTTCATTTGGTGAGAGGAAAATAGTTTACGTTTGGGCGTGTCCTGAAATAGGCTTAATAGTTTATATATAACAGTGCACTTAGAAGGACCTGTCAGGCATCATTCCTCTTGTCTTGTTGATAATTGAATAATCATCTCTCTTTCTCTTTCTCTCTCTCTTTCTCTTTTAAGCAGGCTTGCGAGATTGGAATTAACAGTGCTGTAAAACATTTTCTTGAGAGCAAATATAAGGTGAGCTTCTCCAAATTACAATGGGCTTTGGAGAAAGTTATCTATGTGGGACGCGATTAGATGGTAAGTCCCTGCCTAAAAGGATTGCAGCGAGTCAGTCCAGTCCAAAATCATAAAGAATTGTTTTTTTCTTTTAAAACTGATGACATCATCTTGCTGTTAATGGATACGCGAAGATTTTGTGCGTGAGACTCCATTATCAGCAATACCTGTTATGGATGCGTGTCAATGAATGCGTGTGACTGGACTGAAGATGTGGACTAAAGTTTTGACAGACTTGAAAATTGAGGTTAAAGACTGGACTTATTTTAGGATTAGTAATTTCCAATGCCTAATTCACCCTAGTGGTAAAAAGAGTGTATTTAGGTGTGTTTTCAGTAGGAGCAGGAGGACGAGAGACCAGGGGAAAACTGTAGCTTCTCATGAGTGTGTGGAACTGCAGACTTAACCCTTT